GTCTGGGTTTATTTGCTGCTGCAGTGAATAGCTGTCTCCTTTCTGCTTTGCTGCAGCTGTCTCCTCTTTGTCTCCTTTTTCTACTATGTCTGCTTCCTGTTTAATTAATTTAGCTATTGTCTCGCTGTCTCTTTGGCTGTCTCCTCTTATAAGTGCATGCGCCTGGGAGAGTTGGGTTTGCTGCAGAGACAGACGTAGCGCCTCAAGTGTCTCCTTTGAAGGCAGCTGCAGCATAGACCCTGTTCCTCTCTCTCTGCATCCCTGCTGCTGTTCCTGCTGCTGCTGCTGCTGCTGCTGCTGCTGCAGACTGTTTGAGTCTGAGACTTCTTCTTGAGTCTGCATCGTATCTCCAGGGTATTTGCGGTGTATGTACACCGCGTAGAAGCAAAGATTTCCTCTCTAATTACCCTAAGAAGGCTCCTAGTTAGCCCAGAGGTGTCTGTACACCTCAGCAGCAGCAGCAGCAGCAGCAGCAGCGGGAGCAGCGGGAGCAGCAGCAGCTGCAATGAAATCAATACCCCATAATAAATAAGTTATAAATAGTTTATAAACACTTAAAACAAATAATAAAGTATATCTCTACGTACACATTCTTGTCAAAGACACAGAAGCTCTGTCCTGCATGCAGCTGGCTGCTGGGGGGCAACAGCTGTTTATTAATATATTTTTATTGATTTCTTTATTTATATCTTTTAAATAAATTAATTAAAACTAATTTATACAATTTATTTCTGAGAAACTCCACAGTACAGCGCAGACAAAGGACAGCAACAAGCTGTTGCTCTACTCTCTTGCATGCACAATGAAGGTTTTAGGGTTTAGGGTTTAGGGTTTAGGGCTTAGGGTTTAGGGTTTAGGGTTTAGGGTTTGGGGGTTGGCGCTCCGGGCGACCCCCATAGCACAGAAGTCTGATACACTTCCCGCAGCATCAATTCAGCAGCAACAACAGAAGCAGCAGCAGCAACGACACAGGAGCAGCAGCAGCAGCAGCTGCTGCTGCTACCCCTGCCAGGTTGGCAGCAGCAGCAGCAGCAACAGCAGCAACAACAGCAGGGGATCAAGCAAACGATGGCCCAGAACCATCAGGAGCTGCTGCTGCTGCTGCATCTGCAGCAGCTGCGAGCGCAGCAGCAGCAGCTGCTGCTGCAGCAGCAACGGCAGCAGCAGACCCTCCTTCTGCAGCAGGGATCAGGTGCAGCAGCAGCAGCGACAGCAACAGCAACAGCAGCAGCACCCACTAGAGCAGAGGTAGAAGTGGTGCTGGATGCAACGGAGTCGGAGAGCGGCGACTCTGTTCATAGTGCTGATGATTCTCCTAAAGAACTGCAGCAGCAGCAGCAGCAGCAGCAGCAGTATACACAGCAGCAGCAGTTGCCGCTACAGATGCAGCAGCAGCAGCACCAACAACAACTGCCGCTGCAGCAACAGGCGGAGCTTCAGCAGCAACTGCCTCAGGTGCTGCAGCAGCCGCCGCATCTGCAGCTGCAGCAGCAACAGCAGCAGCAGCAGCAGCAAGGGCTGCTGCACAGCCAAGACGCATCCCAGCCTCATGGCTGTCAACCGCTATCTCTCCCTGCAACTGACACCTCAGCAGCTGCCTCTTCTGCTTCTGCAGCTGCTGCTGTTGCTGCTGCTGCTGCTGCTATTGCTGCTGCTGCAGCATCTCCTTCCGCTGCCGCTAAAGCTGCAGCAGCAGCAGCAGCACCTACTACTACAGCTTCTGCTGCAGCTGAGTGCTTTCAAGTTATCAGCGATGAATCAGAACAGGAGACGCCAACACCACCGCTGCTGCGAACCACAACCGTCAGCAGCAGCAGCAGCAGCAGCAGCAGCAGCAACAGCAGCAGCAGCAACAACAGCAGCAGTTGTCTTCCCATGCAGGTTGATTCGCTGAAAAGTGTGCTGCCGCAGAAGCTGCAGCAAACTCCTCCAGACACCCAGCAGCAGCAAGAGGAGGAGGAGGAGCATCAACAACAACAGCATCTGCAGCAGCAGCAGCAGCAGCAGCAGCAGCAGCTGCCGCTGCAGCAAGTGAAGCAGCCACACAACCAGCAGCAACCGCGTCAGCAGCAGCAAGAGCAGCAGGAAGAGGAATCAAGCGATGAAAAGGAAGATCAACCCCAGCAGCAGCAGCAGCAGCTGACTCCCTCGCAGCAGCAGAAAGCCAGGCAAAAGCAGCAGCAGCAGCAACAGCAGCAGGATCGTCGCCCCCAACGAGGCAGCAGCCGCCTCGCAGCAGCAGCTGCAGCTGCTGCTGCCGCTGCTGCTGCGACAGAGAAGACTGAGGCCCCT